CTCTATCTCTCTCTCAGAGACGCTCTCTCTCTCTCTCTCTCTCTCTCTCTCTCTGCCGCACCTGCTGGAGCACTGCCCTCACAGAGACGGGACAAGAGGAGGAGACACACAAACAGGAAATGGAAGAGAGAGATGCCAACGATACACACCAATGAGAGAACAGGAAATAGAGGAGATGGGGAAAGTGTTGGTAATCATTGAAATAAATTGATTTGGACAAATTGGCCCCCAAAGCTTTGAATATCTCCTTTGAGTGACTCCTTAGAGAACATTACCATAATAGAAACATCTATCTCATTTTGACCAGTCAAAGCAGCAGCAAGCCATAGGGTTTACAGGACACTGAACATAGCTACGATATATAGTGATAGAATAGATAATTACAGCTGATGAATTCAAATGATAGTACTAACATGATTTATCTATGAAACATACAAAAAAGATTATTTCAACAATGCTGAGCACTTAGTGCTCTGCAGCAAGATGACACTCCAGTGTTTCCTAGTAGCTACTATGCTACTTCACATCAAATGGATGAGGACAGACAGTGAATTGCTCCTGCACGGCTCTGCACTACAAGCTCATAAAGCAAAGAGGTGAATGAAAGGGAAACTGTTGCCCTTAGAACAGGGGCACGCGAGTTGGCTGTCCTCTCTTCAGTTTCAGAGCGCCCCCCTGTCTCAGTCACGAGGTATAATTACCTGCAGGCAGGTCAGGCTCCAGGCTCGCGCTCCTAATGGAGGAGCAGCTCTGCTCTAGTCTGTTGGGCAACAGGAAGGGAAGCGCGTGGACCTCAGTGTTCTGCCTGGACTCACAGCAACAAAGAGGGCCCGTCTGGTGTGATTGGGACCCAAGCCCTCAGGGAGGGCAGATGGTGCCCCAGGTCCAGCATAGCATTAGCATGAGAAAGAAAACCAGAGAGAGGGGGGACAGGTACCCTTTCCTCTGTTATAGAGCAGGGGGGAACCCTCTTCTATCCAAACAGACTCTGTTGTGCTGCAGTGCATCGGAGCACAAAGGGAGACATGGTGTCAAGCTGTTGACACGTGTGAGATACACGCCATTCATAACAAAACTCAAAGCAGTAGAAAAGAGTGCCAGAGAGTCCAGCCTCCTTCCAATACCAGATGCAACTGACATTTAACACAATTACTAACTTCAGTCATTTTCACTAAAACATTTTGTTTAAACCCTTATTTCACAAGAATCGTTTCCTTAAAATGTGATTCTTCAAGCTTATAAAGCAAAGAGGTTACTGTACAAAGTGTGATGATGTCAATGGCTCATATCACATAAACAACGTCATACTGCAGAGCACAGCACAATCACCTATCAACATGTAGGCTCTATGACCCGACACGGAATCGGTATTAAAAGTGACCTCACCTTTCTCACAGAGCTGCCCACCTCTAACTGACTGTTAATGGGTTAAAGAGCTCTCAGGCTAACAGGGTCATGGCCTGGGATGTTGACATCTTTGGCTGGGGATTACAATGTGTTTACCACCAATAAAGCAGTTTGGCCTGAGGCTCTGGACTGAGCTGAAACCACTATGAAATGCCAGCCTATTGCTACGTTTACACATGCAGCTCAATTCTGATCTTTTTTCACAAATTGGTCTTCTGACCAATCAGATCAGCTCGTTTGCCAGTAATTGGGCAAAAGATCAGAATTGGGCTGCCAGTGTAAACGCAGCCATACATACAGGCTCATTCAACCTATGCACATTATTGAAGAAAATAAACTCAAAGATAGAATGCTTTTCTGATCCTTGTGGAGTTTTGTCTCCCCCGTGTGTTCATTTAGGCAAACAGCCAGTGTGTTGTCCCCATGGGATGCTAATTTATGAACAAAATTACCGCTGTGTAGTTGTCTTGAAGTTCGATATTCGCTTGACATTCGCATCTAATAATGTATATAACAAACGAACGCCAGCACATAGAATGGTGGGATCATAGCTGCTTTTAGCAACGCGGGTGTATTTAATACACTAGCGTTGCTCCTTATTGTATTGGGTTGCACAAAAACAGTCCGCGGGAAGCCAGAAGTTAAATAAAATGCTATTTCAATGTACTGTGCCGGTGGGCAGGACGGTGATTATGACAGGGGGAATTTGAAACAACATTTGTAAAGGAACGTCCTATTAAACAGACTTTTCAAATATGTGTCTGTTGCTGACCAAAATGCATATGACTTTTATTTGGACATGAGGTAAGCAGGGAGGGAGTGGGTCTACAACAGACCCACGGAAAGTCTATTTAATAATATATTCCTTTAGATATTTTGTCTCAAATTCTCCCCGACATAATGACCAACCGTAGAATGACCAACCGTGTTGAAATTGTATTTGATTTAAAGGGACAATCTGCAGTTCCTACATCCATTTCTTGACTTTTAACTTAACTATATGCCCATTGATTCTTGAAAAATATAACTTAGAATTGCCTCATGAGCTTAGTTCAACTGTTGTACCACATAAGAACTCAAAATATAATATTGTTTTACTCCAATGTTTGTAAAGTAAATGTAAACGAACACTATATAGTCTCAAAACATGATTAAAATTATACATTTCATATCATGGTTGATCATTCCTTGCATCTATAGCTCTGTCTATGAATTTGAGAGTGGTTCCATTACTCCAGCCCCATCCCTCAGCTGTTTACCGAAACAGGGGCGGGGAATCGCTTTGTTGTTATTGTTTCATTCATTTGTAAAAATGTCTAAAAACATCATTCCACTTTGACATTATGGGGTTTTGTGTGTAGGCCAGTGACACAAAATCTCAATTTAATCCATTTTAAATTCAGGCTGTAACACAACAAAATGTGGAAAAAGTCAAGGGGTGTGAATACTTTCTGAAGGCACTGTAGAGGCATGGGGGTGCTACTGGACTGACAGTCACAGGTTCGAATCCCGTTTGGGCTACCCGCTGAATCCACTACACTGGTGTCACAAGTGGGCTTTTCCTCTATCTGGTCATTTACAATTAAAGATGTGAATGCAATGAAATTGATTATTTATCTGGGTACTCAGAAGAGGCTGTAGACCAGCTCTCACAGACTCCAAAGCAATCTCTACACAATGAGCTCAGCTTGGGTAAGCATTTTGAAGACAATTTAGTTGTGAATGCAATTATATTTTTGTGAAAATGTATTATTCATTTAAATAAAAAAAAGCTAGTAAATAAACACTTTCATGTTATGAAACCATTTAGGCCTATATCCATGGTCCATAGTCAAGTTCATAGGTGGAATTTTTATCTGCAAAAGTTGCCAATTGCATTTCTAACAGGGTTGAAAAGCAGGCGCCAACGCGACTTTTACTCACCTACATGGCAGTGGCCTTTTTCCAGATATCAAAACCGCATTTCCATGGGAACACGAATGTCAGGTGCGAAAGCATGATTTATTGAGGTCACCTTCTGGTCAAAATTCCGACTGAAAAAGGTGTTGACTTGAAAACGGAAACGATGCAAAACTCACCCTTGGCTCAACCACCTGTTAGCTCTAGTCTACAGCAGTGTGGAGACATCAAAGAAAATCCAGAGACACTTCTCACCTTCATGTCACAAGTGTGCTATGTGCGATTTGGCGACGTTACTATTGCCATCTGTTCCCATGTCGTCTAAATCAGTAGTAGGCTAATCGATTTTTAAGGTTAGCTCTAGAGCTAGGCTATAGGCTACCAATGACATTACAGGCCTACCCACCCAAATATTTGCGCGCACCTATAACAATAAGCTGAGAGCAGAAAAAGCCGGCAAACAATTTATTGACAACTTTTCCACAGAAACATTCAACTTTTCAAATAAGACACTGTAGCCTACTAAATATCACATGTACGCTCTGATAAACAACTGTCACAGGTTAAGTGCAGTTCATGACGCGACGCGTCCACAGAATTTACAGATATTTTTTATTATTATATATTTATTTTTTTACCTGTGCTAACACTTGCTGGTCACCTTGTGTACCATGGGACCAGTTACCTATAACTCAATGTGAGATTGCCCCTACTGTACAAAACAAGTTAAAACATCCCTAGACAGACAACAAATGAAAAGGCCAAATGGATCCTTCATTACCTGTAGTTGTTTTATTGTCTTGGGAAAATGATGGGGACAGATCCGCGACTCTGCGTTACATGAGCTTGCAAATGACCCTGTCACCTATTGGCGTAGGTGCGAAATAAGAAGCGTCTGGGCCCTGAACGCTTTGAATTTACCTTTTGATTTTTCTCACAACTGCCAAATAAATGTCAGAACGCGTGGCAATAAAACACCTAACGTTTGTGGACGCGTGCCATTTGACAGCAACTCCAGGGACCAACGCTGCAACTTAAAATTGCCTAAAATGTTACAATATCTTATCGACGTGGAGTGCCAGACTTCATGGAGAGTATGACTGAATTTAACTGTGAAAGCATCGGAGGCAAATCAACACAACTTAATGAGACTAAGTTAAGCCTTTCGTTCTGACACTGGACTTCCTTGTTCAACATATGTGACCATATAAAGATAATGTTCATAACAAGATAATTGCTTTAATGTGCATTTTGTGCTCAGGTTTTTAAAGGCCTATACTACCTTGTATTTTTCTGTTGAACATCAATAAAACAAACTGATATACAGGTAAATATTTAATCAAGGAATGTTTTTTATTTCGTAATAACATAGGAAAAACATCTTAGAATAAATGAATGTACAAAATAGGCTGGATAAATATGACAGAATAATACAACTTATACATATTACATGTTGTGATGGTGAAGTCACAGTAATTGTCTAATATTTACAGAATGTACAATTGCTTTGCAGTACAACATTGTCATATCAATGCACATCTATGGAATCCCTGAGTCCAGCATTCACAACACTGCATAAATTAATGACTCCATAGCAACCTAAGCATCAAAGGATATGGCATCCTGGTTATCAGTTAATAGGATATTAGAGTTATTTTACAATTCAGTATCCCAATTCAGGCTCTTGTGCTAGATCAGGGCCAAGGCCTCCACACAGACTGGCTGGCTGGGAGGTTCTGGGATTGGGCATCTTTGGCAGAGTGTCTGTGGGGCTGCTGGGGAGGGTTGGGATCTCCATGTCGGAGTGGAGCTCTGTGAGCATGAGACAGATGTCTCCTGTAGACTTCACAAAGCTGTTGTCTGTAATGGGACTCCTGTATCTTCATCAGGTGTGAGGACTGGTGGCACATTGTGCTGGGCAGAGAGTTGGAAGTGTTAGCTTTTTTAGACGGGACTTCGGTGCTCATACAAGCATGGCTGTTCAGACAGGTAGAGAAAGTAGTGTTCAGTGCTGCCTCCAGCTGCAGCCCCTCCCCTTCGTGCCCCAGGAAGCGTGCAGCTCTCTGCAGGCAGCCTGAGAAGCCTTCCTGGAAGGAATGTTGCTGTTCTCCACTTTCAGCTTTCTTCCTGTCCCCATCACAAGTGTTCTGGAGAAAGAGAACAGTGTGTTCCAGGATCTCCGCTTTCTCCACTCTATGCTGAGTCACACCCTGTTGGAGAGAGAGAGGGCAGATTAATGCACAGTCATGCTACACTTCTCAGAGGAGCTGACACCTGTATGAGCTGCATTTAGAGCAGAGTCAAGTTAGAGGTAAACTTCATACCTGATGTAGTGGTCCCTGCAGCAGTAGTGTTCTCAGGCTCTCCAGACTGTGGTTCATTCTCTCTCTCCGACGTCTCTCCACCTGAGGCTTGAGGAGCTACAAGAGAAAGATTAAAGGAGATCAGACCAGGGAGATCAGACCAGTGTCTCTGGTAAACCAGTGTGTCTAAAACACTCACTTTATACTATAATAAGGGCTCCTAAAACCTAAATATATTTACATGGTAGGACTAGTTGCATAGGTACATTTTATGAACACATTATTATTCCAGTTTCAATCAACAACCTAAGAACAAAATAGGCCTACATGTTTGAGTCCAAATCGATTTTGATTGACTAATATGTATTACATGCATACTGATGAATATAATCATTTCAAAGGTTCAAATCTTACCTTTCTGTCAATTTTCCTGTTCTCTGTTCCCCCAAGTGGTTTCATTTTTGTTAACCAACAAGCTGCTGTTGTCCTTAAAAAGCGTATTTATCCAGAGGTCAGAGAATGTCCAGATGTAAATAATCAAGAACAACAGTAGTATTTCTCTGTGCTACGTCATTGAAGAAGAGTCTCAATATGGCATTTTTGTCTCTGGACGACTTTTAAGTCCATAGGAATAAGCGGTGACTTTGGACTCCTCCCATCGCCATCGGTAGCCAATCCCTGAGCTTCGCGACACGCGCCTTGTACTGTTGAAATACAGTAGAGTATCCTTCACAAGTTAGAAATGGAGTACAAAGTGAATTCATAGAAGAAGTCAGCATAGTCATAAGGATGATACATAGCATAATGGGGTGTACAAATCTGAAGGCCTACTGAAACGGACTGATGGCCAATGTAACCCAGTGAAGTGAAAAGAGCAGTTGGTTGAAATTATTTCGACACAGATCGTTGTCTTGCTTTCTCACTCTGTACCGAGTTTTAACAACTTGGAAATCAAAGAAGACCTCATGGCGCTTCGGTTCAAGCCATCACATCCGCAGTAACACCCTTGGGCATGTGTATGAAAGCGCTAACAAATGGCACGCGTATTGTAATTATTACAAGAGAGGTGTAGGCGAGAGTCGAACAGTCTCCAGTGTGACACGGATTTACAAATGAGTTAAGTGACACCTCAGACTCTCAAACACAGACAGGCACACGCACAGCCGAAAGGTATTGCGCATTCCAATTGGCACAGCATTTTAGGCACAGACCCAACACGCGTTTCTGACATGTTAGTGGATGAATATTGCTTTAATACAATTGACTATTACATATATCATATTATTTAGATTTAATTATATTATAATATTAGCCTATGTTAAGTAACGTTTCACATGTCAATATGTGCGCATGAGAACTGGGAACCTGGGAATGCTCCACCAGACAGTCGGTGGCAGCTTTTGCCTAATTATGTACAAATTCTAACAGGTAATAAAGAACAAACTGTTATCTATCCTACTCCTTTTCCCAAGGGAAAATGCTCAGGACAATTTCTCAGTGTATCACATCAGGGACCATGGATGAATTTGGTCTCCTCATTTTCTTGGCATGTCAACATAACTATTTCAGGTTAATTGTTATAAAAAATGGGGCCTATACTGAGTCACATGCTGTAAACTGTACTTCGTCTGATGAAGTTAGTGTGAATTAATAATATTTTTTGGAAGAAGTTGTGGTCGCGTTTGGCTCAGTTGATAGAGCATGGCAATTGCAATGCAAGGGTTGTTGATCCGATTCCCATGACGGACCAGTACGATAAAATATGAAGATGTATACAATCACTACTGTAAATCGCTCTGGATAAGAGCGTCGGCTAAATGACTAAAAAAGTAAAATGTAATTTCCATCACAGAACATTTCTAATAACCGAATAATTTGGTGAAATTAATAGCTACACTGTCTAAAAAATGTCCCAGATTTAATTAATAGGATCTGGTCAAATTACTTTTAATAGGCACACATTGTAATTGTACTGATGATTAACCATAATAATATAATAATATAATATAATATGCCATTTAGCAGACGCTTTTATCCAAAGCGACTTACAGTCATGCGTGCATACATTTTTTTGTGTATGGGTGGTCCCGGGGATCGAACCCACTACCTTGGCGTTACAAGCGCCGTGCTCTACCAGCTGAGCTACAGAGGACCACCCAAAAAACCACATTTGTACATTTTATTAGCTTAGGCTTACTAATATTAATGAATGTTAATTACGTTGGAAGTTGCTTTTAGACTGTAGGCTAGTCTCGATATTTGAGAGTAAATCGTTCAATATATGTAAAAGCTCCTTAAACCAAGATTGTCCCACTGCTGGTTTAGGAATAATTTGTTATAAAGCCTGCATACCATTGGCCTATGAAAGAAAAAAAAATATGTTAAGAAAAATGTAATATTGTACTATGAACCTCTGAACAACTTACTGTGAATGAATGATCCGTTCCAATACCCCAAGGAGTCTACGGGACATAATTTTTGTATATGTGAGAATGTCAAGAGAAACTCGTTGTTTTCGGCAGTCCGAACCCTCTCGGGTTATAAAAAGGCCCTAAAAATATTCCTTTGAATTTCAGGTGTGATTGAAGGTCGCTGTCACTGAGCACTTTGATGTTATTGCCCGGACCTAACATCTTGAGGTGTCAAAGCGCGTGGTCTCTACGCACCTTTGACTCAAACACACAGGTGCCAACTATCAATGAAATGCAAATCCATGATAACTTTGCAATACTTTTAACTGGATTCGGAACGTGCTGGAACGTGCCATTACATAAGCAGATGACAACCCATTACTGAATAAGATACCATTGAGACAATGTTTTTAAAGGAATGTGTTTTATTTGTATTTCAACATACTGGCCTATATCTTTGAAAAACATAGGAACAAGTCCCAGAATAAATTAATGTGCAAAAACAGATAAGATATCAGAGTACTACAAGTTATACATAGTACATGTTGTAATACTAAAGTATAGAGTAATTGTACAATATTTAGAATTGATATTTGCTTTGCTGTACAATATTGTCATATCAGTGCAAATCTATGGAGTCCCTAAATCCGGTGTTCACAACACTGTATAAATTAATAACTCCATAGCAACCTCAGCAGCAAAGGATGTGGCATCCTGGTTATCAGTTCATAGGATATTACATTTGTTTTACAGTTCAATATCCCAATTCAGGCTCTTGTGCCAGATTAGGGCCAAGGCCTCCACACAGACTGGCTGGCTGGGAGGTTCTGGGATTGGGCTTCTTTGGCAGAGTGTCTGTGGGGCTGCTGGGGAGGGTTGGGATCACAATGTCGGAGTGGAGCTCTGTGAGCATGAGACAGATGTCTCCTGTAGACTTCACAAAGCTGTTGTCTGTAGTGGGACTCCTGTATCTTCATCAGGTGTGAGGACTGGTGGCACATTGTGCTGGGCAGAGAGTTGGAAGAGTGGGCTTTAGCCGGGACTTCGGTGCTCATACAAACATGGCTGTTCAGATGAGCAGAGAAAGTAGTGTTCAGTGCTGCCTCCAGCTGCAGCCCCTCCCCTTTGTGCCCCAGGAAGTGTACAGCTCTCTGCAGGCAGCCTGAGAAGCCTTCCTGGAAGGAATGTTGCTGTTCTCCACCTTCAGCTTTCTTCCTGTCCCCATCACCAGTGTTCTGGAGAAAGAGAACAGTGTGTTCCAGGATCTCAGCTTTCTCCACTCTACGTTGAGTCACACCCTGTTGGAGAGCCGAGAGGGCAGATTAATGCACAGTCATGCTACACTTCTCAGAGGAGCTGACACCTGTATGAGCTGCATTTAGAGCAGAGTCAAGTTAGAGGTAAACTTCATACCTGATGTAGTGGTCCCTGCAGCAGTAGTGTTCTCAGGCTCTCCAGACTGTGGTTCATTCTCTCTCTCCGACGTCTCTCCACCTGAGGCTTGAGGAGCTACAAGAGAAAGATTAAAGGAGATCAGACCAGGGAGATCAGACCAGTGTCTCTGGTAAACCAGTGTGTCTAAAACATTAACTTTATACTATAATAAGGGCTCCTAAAATCTAAATATATTTACATGGTAGGACTAGTTGCATAGGTACATTTTAGGAACACATTATTATTCCACTTTCAATCAACAAGCTAAGAACAAAATAGGCCTACATGTTTGAGTCCAAATCGATTTTGATTGACTAATATGTATTACATACATACTGATGAATATAATTATTTCAAAGGTTCAAATCGTACCTTTCTGTCAATTTTCCTGTTCTCTGTTCCCCCAAGTGGTTTCATTTTTGTTAACCAACAAGCTGCTGTTGTCCTTAAAAAGCGTATTTATCCAGAGGTCAGAGAATGTCCAGATGTAAATAATCAAGAACAACAGTTATATTTCTCTGTGTTAAGTCATTGAAGAAGAGTCTCAATATGGCATTTCTTTCCCTGGACGACTTTTAAGTCAGGGAAAGACAGGCCTGTTGTCTGGACCTATGGCAGTCTCTATGGGGGTGCCACAGGGTTCAATTCTTGGGCCGACACTTTTCTCTGTGTATATCAATGATGTCGCTCTTGCTGCTGGTGACTCTCAGATCCACCTCTACGCAGACGACACCATTTTGTATACATCTGGCCCTTCATTGGACACTGTGTTAACAAACCTCCAAACGAGCTTCAATGCCATACAACAATCCTTCAGTAGCCTTCAACTGCTCTTAAACACTAGTAAAACTAAATGCATGCTTTTCAATCGAACGCTGCTAGCACCCGCCCACCCGACTAGAATCACCACTCTCGACGGGTCTGACCTAGAGTATGTGGACAACTACTAATATCTAGGTGTCTGGTTAGACTGTAAACTCAACTTCCAGACTCACATAAAGAATCTCCAATCCAAAGTTAAATCTAGAATCGGCTTCCTATTTCGCAAACAAAGCCTCCTTCACTCATGCTGCCAAACATGCCCTCGTAAAACTGACTATCCTACCGATCCTTGACTTCGGCGATGTCATTTACAAAATAGCCTCCAACACTCTACTCAGCAAATTGGATGTAGTCTATCACAGTGCCATCCGTTTTGTCTCCAAAGCCCCATACACTACCCACCACTGTGACCTGTACGCTCTTGTTGGCTGGTCCTCACTACATGTTCGTCGTCAAACCCACTGGCTCCAGGCCATCTATAAATCACTGCTAGGCAAATCCCCGCCTTATCTTAGCTCATTGGTCACCATAGCAGCACCCACCCGTAGTCTGCGCTCCAGCAGGTATATCTCACTGGTCATTCCCAAAGCCAACACCTCCTTTGGCCGCCATTCCTTCCAGTTCTCTGCTGCCAATGACTGGAACGAATTGCAAAAATCTCTGAAGCTGGAGACTCTTATGTCCCTCAATAACTTTAAGCATCAGTTGTCAGAGCACCTTACCGATCACTGCACCTGTACACAGCCCATCTGAAATTAGCCCACCCAACTACCTCATCCCTATATTGTTATTTATTTTGCTCTTTTGCACCCCAGTATCTCTATTTGCACATCATCTCTTGCACATCTAGCATTCCAGTGTTAATACTATTGTAATTATTCTGCACTATAGCCTATTTATTGCCTTACCTCCATAACTTGCTACATTTGCACACACTGTATATATATTTTCTGTTGTATTTCTGACTTTATGTTTTTTTTACCCCATATGTAACTCTGTGTTGTTTTTATTGCACTATTTTGCTTTATCTTGGCCAGGTCGCAGTTGTAAATGAGAACCTGTTCTCAACTGGCTTACCTGGTTAAATAAAGGTGAAATAAAAAAAAATAAAAAAATAAAAGGTCATAGGAATAAGCGGTAACTTTGGACTCCTCCCATCGCTATCGGTAGCCAATACCTGAGCATCGCGGCACGCGCCTTGTACTGTTGAAATACAGTAGAGTAGCCTTCACAAGTTAGAAATGGAATACAAAGTGAATTCATAGAAGAAGTCAGCATAGTCATAAGGATGATACATAGCATAACATTTGCACGCATGACTGTAAGTCGCTTTGGATAAAAGTGTCTGCTAAATGGCATATTATATTATATATTATTATATATTATATTACATATTATATTATACATTATATTATATAATGGGGTGTAAAAATCTGAAGGCCTATTGAAACGGACTGATGGCCAATATAACCCAGTGAAGTGAAGAGAGCAGTTGGTTGAAATTATTTCGACACAGATCGTTGTCTCGCTTTCTCACTCTGTACCGAGTTTTAACAACTTGGAAATCAAAGAAGACCTCATGGCGCTTCGGTACCAGCCATCACATCCGCAGTAACACCCGTGGGCATGTGTATGAAAGCGCTAACAAATGGCACGCGTATTGTAATTATTACAAGAGAGGTGTAGGCGAGAGTCGAACAGTCTCCAGTGTGACACGGATTTACAAATGAGTTAAGTGACACCTCAGACTCTCAAACACAGACAGGCACACGCACAGCCGAAAGGTATTGCGCATTCCAATTGGCACTGCATTTTACGCAGAGACCCAACACGCGTTTCTGACTTCTTAGTGGATGAATATTGCTTTAATACAATTGACTATTACATATATAATATTATTTAGATTTAATTATTTTGTAATATTAGCCTATGTTAAGTAACGTTTCACATGTCAATATGTGCGCATGAGAACTGGGAACCTGGGAATGCTCCACCAGACAGTCGGTGGCAGCTTTTGCCTAATTATGTACAAATTCTAACAGGTAATAAAGAACAAACTGTTATCTATCCTACTCCTTTTCTCAAGGGAAAATGCTCAGGACAATTTCTCAGTGTATCACATCAGGGACCATATATTAATTTGGTCTCCTCATTTTCTTGGCATGTCAATAGAACTATTTCAGGTTATTCATTATAAAAAAAGGGGCCTATATTAAGCCACATGTTGTAAACGGTATGTCTGAAGAAGGTAGTGTGATTTAATAATATATTTGGAAGTAATTGTGGCTCAGTTGGTAGAGCATGGTAATTGCAATACCAGGATTGTGGGTTCAATTACCACGGGGGATAAGAACGATCAAATATGAAAATAATTGCACTCACTACTGTATGTCGCTCTAGAGCGTTTGCTGAATGATGAAATTGTAAGTTTCATCACAGAACATTTCTAATAGTTTGGTGATATAAGTATCTGTCTTTTCTAAAAAAAAAAAGTGCCATCTGTCCCAGACTTAAATTAATAGGCTCTGTTCTGATTACTTTCGATTGCCACTTTTAATAGGCACACATTGTAATTGTACTGATGATGAACCACATTTGTTAAATATTATTAGCTTAGGCTTACTAATATTAATTAGGCTAGTCTCGATATTTGAGAGTAAATTGTTCAAAATATGTAAACGCTCCTTAAACCAAAGCTGTCCCACTGCTGGTTTAGGAATAATTTGTTATAAAGCCTGCATACCATAGGCCTATGAAAGAAAAAAAAATCTGTTAAGAAAAATGTAATATTGTACCATGAACCTCTGAACAAATTACATTTTACATTTTACATTTTAGTCATTTAGCAGACGCTCTTATACAGAGCGACTTACTGTTAGTGAGTTTATAAATTTTTATACTGTGAATGAATGATCCGTTACCCAAAGGAGTCGACGAGGACATACTTTTTGTATATGTGAGAATGTCAAGAGAAGCTCCTTGTTTTCGGCAGTCCGAACCCTCTCGGGTTATAAAAAGCCCTTAAAATATTCCTTTGAATTTCAGGTGTGATTGAAGGCTGCTGTCACTGAGCACTTTGAAGTTCTTGCCCGGACCTAACATCTTGAGGTGTCAAAGCGCGTGGTCTCTACGCACCTTTGACTCAAACACACAGGTGCCAACTATCAATGAAATGCAAATCCATGATAACTTTGCAATACTTTTAACTGGATTCGGAACGTGCTGGAACGTGCCATTACATAAGCAGATGACAACCCATTACTGAATAAGATACCATTGAGACAATGTTTTTAAAGGAATGTGTTTTATTTGTATTTCAATATACTGGCCTATATCTTTGAAAAACATAGGAACAAGTCCCAGAATAAATTAATGTGCAAAAATAGATAAGATATCAGAGTACTACAAGTTATACATAGTACATGTTGTAATACTAAAGTATAGAGTAATTGAATGATATTTAGAACTGATATTTGCTTTGCAGTACAACATTGTCATATCAATGCAAATCTATGGAAACCCTGAGTCCGTGTTCACAACACTGCATAAATTAGTAACTCCATAGCAACCTCAGCAGCAAAGGATGTGGCATCCTGGTTATCAGTTCATAGGATATTACATTTGTTTTACAGTTCAATATCCCAATTCAGGCTCTTGTGCCAGATCAGGGCCAAGGCCTCCACACAGACTGGCTGGCTGGGAGGTTCTGGGATTGGGCTTCTTTGGCAGAGTGTCTGTGGGGCTGCTGGGGAGGGTTGGGATCACAATGTCGGAGTGGAGCTCTGTGAGCATGAGACAGATGTCTCCTGTAGACTTCACAAAGCTGTTGTCTGTAGTGGGACTCCTGTATCTTCATCAGGTGTGAGGACTGGTGGCACATTGTGCTGGGCAGAGAGTTGGAAGAGTGGGCTTTAGCCGGGACTTCGGTACTCATACAAGCATGGCTGTTCAGACGAGCAGAGAAAGTAGTGTTCAGTGCTGCCTCCAGCTGCAGCCCCTCCCCTTCGTGCCCCAGGAAGTGTACAGCTCTCTGCAGGCAGCCTGAGAAGCCTTCCTGGAAGGAATGTTGCTGTTCTCCACCTTCAGCTTTCTTCCTGTCCCCATCACCAGTGTTCTGGAGAAAGAGAACAGTGTGTTCCAGGATCTCAGCTTTCTCCACTCTATGCTGAGTCACACCCTGTTGGAGAGAGAGAGGGCAGATTAATGCACAGTCATGCTACACTTCTCAGAGGAGCTGACACCTGTATGAGCTGCATTTAGAGCAGAGTCAAGTTAGAGGTGAACTTCATACCTGATGTAGTGGTCCCTGCAGCAGTAGTGTTCTCAGGCTCTCCAGACTGTGGTTCATTCTCTCTCTCCGACGTCTCTCCACCTGAGGCTTGAGGAGCTACAAGAGAAAGATGAAAGGAGATCATCACAGGGAGATTAGACCAGTGTCTCTGGTAAACCAGTGTGTCTAAAACATTAACTTTATACTATAATAAGGGCTCCTAAAATCTAAATATATTTACATGGTAGGACTAGTTGCATAGGTACATTTTAGGAACACATTATTATTCCACTTTCAATCAACAAGCTAAGAACAAAATAGGCCTACATGTTTGAGTCCAAATCGATTTTGATTGACTAATATGTATTACATACATACTGATGAATATAATCATTTCAAAGGTTCAAATCGTACCTTTCTGTCAATTTTCCTGTTCTCTGTTCCCCCAAGTGGTTTCATCTTTGTTAACCAACAAGCTGCTGTTGTCCTTAAAAAGCGTATTTATCCAAAGGTCAGAGAATGTCCAGATGTAAATAATCAAGAACAACAGTTGTATTTCTCTGTGCTAAGTCATTGAAGAAGAGTCTCAATATGGCATTTCTTTCCCTGGACGATTTTTAAGTCCATAGGAATAAGCGGTAACTTTGGACTCCTCCCATCGCTATCGGTAGCCAATACCTGAGCTTCTTGGCACGCGCCTTGTACTGTTGAAATACAGTAGAGTAGCCTTCACAAGTTAGAAATGGAATACAAAGTGAATTCATAGAAGAAGTCAGCATAGTCATAAGGATGATACATAGCATAACATTTGCACGCATGACTGTAAGTCGCTTTGGATAAAAGTGTCTGCTAAATGGCATATTATATTATATATAATGATATATTATATTACATATTATATTATACATTATATTATATAATGGGGTGTAAAAATCTGAAGGCCTATTGAAACGGGCTGATGGCCAATGTAACCCAGTAAAGTGAAGAGAGCAGTTGGTTGAAATTATTTCGACACAGATCGTTGTCTCGCTTTCTCACTCTGTACCGAGTTTTAACAACTTGGAAATCAAAGAAGACCTCATGGCGCTTCGGTACAAGCCATCACATCCGCAGTAACACCCTTGGGCATGTGTATGAAAGCGCTAACAAATGGCACGCGTATTGTAATTATTACAAGAGAGGTGTAGGCGAGAGTCGAACAGTCTCCAGTGTGACACGGATTTACAAATGAATTAAGTGACACCTCAGACTCTCAAACACAGACAGGCACACGCACAGCCGAAAGGTATTGCGCATTCCAATTGGCACTGCATTTTACGCAGAGACCCAACACGCGTTTCTGACTTCTTAGTGGATGAATATTGCTTTAATACAATTGACTATTACATATATAATATTATTTAGATTTAATTATTTTGTAATATTAGCCTATGTTAAGTAACGTTTCACATGTCAATATGTGCTCATGAGAACTGGGAACCTGGGAATGCTCCACCAGACAGTCGGTGGCAGCTTTTGCCTAATTATGTACAAATTCTAACAGGTAATAAAGAACAAACTGTTATCTATCCTACTCCTTTTCCCAAGGGAAAAAGCTCAGGACAATTTCTCAGTGTATCACATCAGGGACCATGGATGAATTTGGTCTCCTCATTTTCTTGGCATGTCAATAGAACTATTTCAGGTTATTCATTATAAAAAATGGGGCCAATATTAAGCCACATGTTGTAAACGGTACGTCTGAAGAAGGTAGTGTGATTTAATAATATATTTGGAAGTAATTGTGGCTCAGTTGGTAGAGCATGGCAATTGCAATACCAGGATTGTGGGTTCAATTACCACGGGGGATAAGAACGATCAAATATGAAAATAATTGCACTCACTACTGTATGTCGCTCTAGAGCGTTTGCTGAATGATGAAATTGTAAGTTTCATCACAGAACATTTCTAATAGTTTGGTGATATAAGTATCTGTCTTTTCTAAAAAATGTGCCTTCTGTCCCAGACTTAAATTAATAGGCTCTGTTCTGATTACTTTCGATTGCCACTTTTAATAGGCACACATTGTAATTGTACTGATGATGAACCACATTTGTTAAATATTATTAGCTTAGGCTTACTAATATGAATTAATGTTAATTACGTTGGAAGATGATTTTAGGGTGTAGGCTAGTCTCGATATTTGAGAGTAAATTGTTCAAAATATGTAAACGCTCCTTAAACCAAAGCTGTCCCACTGCTGGTTTAGGAATAATTTGTTATAAAGCCTGCATACCATAGGCCTATGAAAGAAAAAAAAATCTGTTAAGAAAAATGTAATATTGTACCATGAACCTCTGAACAAATTACATTTTACATTTTACATTTTAGTCATTTAGCAGACGCTCTTATACAGAGCGACTTACTGTTAGTGAGTGTATACATTTTTCATACTGTGAATGAATGATCCGTTACCCAAAGGAGTCGACGAGGACATACTTTTTGTATATGTGAGAATGTCAAGAGAAGCTCCTTGTTTTCGGCAGTCCGAACCCTCTCGGGTCATAAAAAGCCCTTAAAATATTCCTTTGAATTTCAGGTGTGATTGAAGGCTGCTGTCACTGAGCACTTTGAAGTTCTTGCCCGGACCTAACATCTTAAGGTGTCAAAGCGCGTGGTCTCTACGCACCTTTGACTCAAACACACAGGTGCCAACTATCAATGAAATGCAAATCCATGATAACTTTGCAATACTTTTAACTGGATTCGGAACGTGCTGGAACGTGCCATTACATAAGCAGATGACAACCCATTACTGAATAAGATACCATTGAGACAATGTTTTTAAAGGAATGTGTTTTATTTGTATTTCAACATACTGGCCTATATCTTTGAAAAACATAGGAACAAGTCCCAGAATAAATTAATGTGCAAAAATAGACAAGATATCAGAGTACTACAAGTTATACATAGTACATGTTGTAATACTAAAGTATAGAGTAATTGAATGATATTTAGAACTGATATTTGCTTTGCAGTACAACATTGTCATATCAATGCAAATCTATGGAAACCCTGAGTCCGTGTTCACAACACTGCATAAATTAGTAACTCCATAGCAACCTCAGCAGCAAAGGATGTGGCATCCTGGTTATCAGTTCATAGGATATTACATTTGTTTTACAGTTCAATATCCCAATTCAGGCTCTTGTGCCAGATCAGGGCCAAGGCCTCCACACAGACTGGCTGGCTGGGAGGTTCTGGGATTGGGCTTCTTTGGCAGAGTGTCTGTGGGGCTGCTGGGGAGGGTTGGGATCACAATGTCGGAGTGGAGCTCTGTGAGCATGAGACAGATGTCTCCTGTAGACTTCACAAAGCTGTTGTCTGTAGTGGGACTCCTGTATCTTCATCAGGTGTGAGGACTGGTGGCACATTGTGCTGGGCAGAGAGTTGGAAGAGTGGGCTTTAGCCGGGACTTCGGTACTCATACAAACATGGCTGTTCAGACAGGTAGAGAAAGTAGTGTTCAGTGCTGCCTCCAGCTGCAGCCCCTCCCCTTCGTGCCCTAGGAAGTGTACAGCTCTCTGCAGGCAGCCTGAGAAGCCTTCCTGGAAGGAATGTTGCTGTTCTCCACCTTCAGCTTTCTTCCTGTCCCCATCACCAGTGTTCTGGAGAAAGAGAACAGTGTGTTCCAGGATCTCAGCTTTCTCCACTCTATGCTGAGTCACACCCTGTTGGAGAGAGAGAGGGCAGATTAATGCACAGTCATGCTACACTTCTCAGAGGAGCTGACACCTGTATGAGCTGCATTTAGAGCAGAGTCAAGTTAGAGGTGAACTTCATACCTGATGTAGTGGTCCCTGCAGCAGTAGTGTTCTCAGGCTCTCCAGACTGTGGTTCATTCTCTCTCTCCGACGTCTCTCCACCTGAGGCTTGAGAAGCTACAATTGAAAGATGAAAGGAGATCATCACAGGGAGATTAGACCAGTGTCTCTGGTAAACCAGTGTGTCTAAAACACTCACTTTATACTATAATAAGGGCTCCTAAAACCTAAATATATTTACATGGTAGGACTAGTTGCATAGGTACATTTTATGAACACATTGTTATTCCAATTTCAGTCAACAAGCTAAGAACAAAATAGGCCTACATGTTTGAGTCCAAATCGATTTTGATTGACTAATATGTATTACATATATACTGATTAATATAATCACTTCAAAGGTTCAAATCTTACCTTTCTGTCAATTTTCCTGTTCTCTGTTCCCCCAAGTGGTTTCATTTTTGCTAATCAACAAGCTGCTGTTGTCCTTAAAAAGCGTATTTATCCAGAGGTCAAAGAATGTCCAGATGTAAATAATCAAGAAGAACAGTAGTATTTCTCTGTGCCATGTCACTGAAGAAGAGTCTCAATATGGCATTTCTTACCCTGGACGACTTTTAAGTCCATAGGAATAAGCGGTGACTTTGGACTCCTCCCATCGCTAACGGTAGCCAATCCCTGAGCATTGCGGCACGCGCTTTGTACTGTTGAAATACAGTAGAGTAGCCTTCACAAGTTAGAAAAGGAATACAAATTGAATTCATAGAAGTCAGCATAGTCATAAGGAGGATAAATAGCATAATGGGGTGGAAAAATCTGAAGGCCTATTGAAACGGGCTGATGGCCAATGTAACCCAGTAAAGTGAAGAGAGCAGTTGGTTGAAATTATTTCGACACAGATCATTGTCGTGCTTTCTCACGCTGTACCCAGTATTAACAACTTGGAAATCAAAGAAGACCTCATGGTGCTTCGATACAAGCCATTACATCCGCAGTAACACCCGTGGGCATGTGTATGAAAGCGCTAAGAAATGGCACGCGTATTGTAATTATTACAAGAGAGGTGTAGGCGAGAGTCGAACAGTCTCCAGTGTGACACGGATTTACAAATGAATTAAGTGACACCTCAGACTCTCAAACACAGACAGGCACACGCACAGCCGAAAGGTATTGGCTTTCCAATTGGCACAGCATTTTACTCACAGACCCAACACGCGTTTCTGATTTGTTAGTGGATGAATATTGCTTTAATACAATTGACTATTACATATATAATATTATTTAGATTTAATTATATTGTAATATTAGCCTATGTTAAGTAACGTTTCACATGTCAATATGTGCGCATGAGAACTGGGAACCTGGGAATGCTCCACCAGACAGTCGGTGGCAGCTTTTGCCTAATTATGTACAAATTCTAACAGGTAATAAAGAACAAACTGTTATCTATCCTACTCCTTTTCTCAAGGGAAAATGCTCAGGACAATTTCTCAGTGTATCACATCAGGGACCATAGATACATTTGGTCTCCTCATTTTCTTGGCATGTCAATAGAACTATTTCAGGTTAATCGTTAATCGTAAAAAATGGGGCCTATATTGAGCATATGTTGTAAACGGTACGTCTGAAGAAGGTAATGTGATTTAATAATATATTTGGAAGTAATTGTGGTTCCGTGTGGCTCAGTGGGTAGAGCGTGGCAATTGCAATACCAGGATTGTGGTTTCCATTCCCACGGGGGACAAGTAATAGGCTATGAAAATGAATGCATTCACTACTGTAAGTCGCCCCAGAGCGTCTGCTAAATGACAAAAAATGTAAGTTCCATCACAGAACATTTCTAATAATTTGGTGATATAAATATTTGTCTTAAATTAATAGGATCTGTTCAGATTACTTTCGATTGCCACTTTTAATAGGCACACATTGTAGTTGTACTGATGATGAACCACATTTGTTAAATATTATTAGCATAGGCTTACTACTATTAATGAATGTTAATTACGTTGGAAGTTGCTTTTAGACTGTAGGCTAGTCTCGATATTTGAGAGTAAATCGTTCAATATATGTAAAAGCTCCTTAAACCAAGATTGTCCCACTGCTGGTTTAGGAATAATTTGTTATAAAGCCTAGGCCATAGGCCTATGAAAGAAAAAATAATCTGTTAAGAAAAATATAACATTGTACCATGAACCTCTGAACAAATTACTGTGAATGAATGATCCGTTCCAATACCCCAAGGAGACAACAAGGACATAATTTGTGTATATGTGAGAATGTAAAGAAAAGCTCCTTGTTTTCGGCAGTCTGAACCCTCTCAGGATATAAAAATGCCCTTAAAATGTTCTTTAGAATTTCAGGTGTGATTGAAGGTCGCTGTCACTGAGCACTTTGATGTTCTTGTCCCCGACCTAACATCTTGAGGTGTCCACCCACGCAGACAGTGTGGTGAAGAAGGCGCAACAGAGCTTTTTCAACCTCAGAAGGCTGAAGAAATTTGGCTTGGCACCTAAAACCCTCACAAACTTTTACAGATGCACAATTGAGAGCATCCTGTCGGGCTGTATCACCGCTTGGTACGGCAACTGCACCGCCCGCAACCGCAGGGCTCTGCAGAGGGTGGTGCGGTCTGCCAAACGCATTACCGGGGGCAAACTACCTGCCCTCCAAGACACCTACAGCACCCGATGTTACAGGAAGGCTAAAAAGATCATCAAGGACATCAACCACCCAAGCCACTGCAGGTTCACCCCGCTATCATCCAGAAGGCGAGGTCAGTACAGGTGCATCAAAGCTGGGACAGAGAGAATGAAAAACAACTTCTATCTCAAGGCCATCAGACTGTTAAATAGCCATCACTAGCACATTAGAGGGTGCTGCTGCCTATTGAAATCACTGGCCACTTTAAGAAATTGAACACTAGTCACTTTAATAATGTTTACATATCTTGCACTACTCATCTCATATGTATATACTGTATTCTATTCTATAATATTCGACAGTATCTTAGTCCATGCTGCTCTGGCATTGCTTGTCCATATATATATGTATTCTTAAATTCCATTCCTTACTAGATTTGTGTGTATTGGGTATATGTTGTGAAATTGTTAGATATTACTGCACTGTCGGAGCTAGAAGCACAATAATTTCGCTACACCCGCAATAACATCTGCTAAACACGTGTATGTGACAAATAAAATTTGATTTGTCAAAGCGTGTGGTCTCTGCACACCTTTGACTCAAACACACAAGTGCCAGTTATCAATGAAATGCAAATCCATGATAACTTTGCAATACTTTTAACTGGCATCGGAACGTGCTGGAACGTGCCATTACATCAGCAGATGACAACCATAACCAAAAACACATTTGATACTTCTACACATTACTAAATAAGATACCATTGAGACAATGTTTTTAAAGGAATGTGTTTTATTTGTATTTCAACATACAGGCCTATATCTTTGAAAAACATAGGAACAAGTCCCAGAATAAATTAATGTGCAAAAATAGACAAGATATCAGAGTACTACAAGTTATACATAGTACATGTTGTAATACTAAAGTATAGAGTAATTGTACAATATTTAGAATTGATATTTGCTTTGCTGTACAATATTGTCATATCAGTGCAAATCTATGGACTCCCTAAATCCAGTGTTCACAACACTGCATGAATTAATAACTCCATAGCAACCTCAGCAGCAAAGGATGTGGCATCCTGGTTATCAGTTCATAGGATATTACATTTGTTTTACAGTTCAATATCCCAATTCAGGCTCCTGTGCTGGATCAGGGCCAAGGCCTCCACACAGACTGGCTGGCTGGGAGGTTCTGGGATTGGGCTTCCTTGGCAGAGTGTCTGTGGGGCTGCTGGGGAGGGTTGGGATCTCCATGTCGGAGTGGAGCTCTGTGAGCATGAGACAGATGTCTCCTGTAGACTTCACAAAGCTGTTGTTTGTAGTGGGACTCCTGTATCTTCATCAGGTGTGAGGACTGGTGGCACATTGTGCTGGGCAGAGAGTTGGAAGAGTGGGCTTTAGCCGGGACTTCGGTGCTCATACAAACATGGCTGTTCAGACGAGCAGAGAAAGTAGTGTTCAGTGCTGCCTCCAGCTGCAGCCCCTCCCCTTCGTGCCCCAGGAAGTGTACAGCTCTCTGCAGGCAGCCTGAGAAGCCTTCCTGGAAGGAATGTTGCTGTCCTCCACCTTCAGCTTTCTTCCTGTCCCCATCACCAGTGTTCTGGAGAAAGAGAACAGTGTGTTCCAGGATCTCAGCTTTCTCCACTCTACGTTGAGTCACACCCTGTTGGAGAGAGAGAGGGCAGATTAATGCACAGTCATGCTACACTTCTCAGAGGAGCTGACACCTGTATGAGCTGCATTTAGAGCAGAGTCAAGTTAGAGGTGAACTTCATACCTGGTGTAGTGGTCCCTGCAGCAGTAGTGTTCTCAGGCTCTCCAGACTGTGGTTCATTCTCTCTCTCCGACGTCTCTCCACCTGAGGCTTGAGGAGCTACAAGAGAAAGATGAAAGGAGATCAGACCAGGGAGATTAGACCAGTGGCTATTCTAAACCAGTGTTTCTAAAACACTCACTTTATACCACAGTAATGGCTCCTAAAACCTAAATATATGTACATGGTAGGACTAGTTACATAGGTACATTTTAGAAACACATTGTTATTCCAATTTCAGTCAACAAGCTAAGAACAAAATAGGCCTACATGTTTGAGTCCAAATCGATTTTGATTGACTAATATGTATTACAGATATACTGATGAATATAATCATTTCAATGGTTCAAATCTTACCTTTCTGTCAATTTTCTTGTTCTCTGTTCCCCCAAGTGGTTTCATCTCAGCTGCTGTTGTCCTTAAAAAGCGTATACATCCAGAGGTCAGAGAATGTCCAGATGTAAATAATCAAGAACAACAGTTGTATTTCTCTGTGCTAAGTCATTGAAGAAGAGTCTCAATATGGCATTTCTTTCCCTGGACGACTTTTAAGTCCATAGGAATGAGAGGTGACTTTGGACTCCTCCCATCGCCATCGGTGGCCAATCCCTAAGCTTCGCGGCACGCGCCTTATACTGTTGAAATACAGTAGAGTATCCTTCACAAGTTAGAAATGGAATACAAAGTGAATTCGTAGAAGAAGTCACCATAGTCATAAGGAGGATATATAGCATAATGGGGTGTAAAAATCTGTAGGCCTATTGAAACGGGCTGATGGCCAATGTAACACAGTGAAGTAAAGAGAGCAGTTGGCTGCATCGCAGTGCTAGCTGTGCCACTAGAGATCCTGGTTCGAATCCAGGCTCTGTCGCAGCCGGCCGCGACCGGGAGACTCATGGGCAGCGCACAATTGGCCTAGCGTTGTCCAGGGTAGGGGAGGGAATGGCCTGCAGGGATGTAGTTCAGTTGATAGAGCATGGCGTTTGCAACGCCAGGGTTGTGGGTTCGATTCCCACGGGGGACCAGTATGATTTTTTATATATATATATATATATATATATATATATATATATATATATATATATATATATATATATATATATATATATATATATATGTATTCACTAACTGTAAGTCGCTCTGGATAAGAGCGTCTGCTAAATGACTTAAATGTAAATGGTTGAAATGATTTCGACACAGATCATTGTCGTGCTTTCCCACGCTGTCCCACGTTTAACAACTTGTATAAGAGGACCAATGAGGACATCGTGGCGCTTCCGTACAAGCATTCACATCCGTAGTAACACCCGTGGGCAGGTGTAAGAAAGCGCTAACAAATGGCACGCGTATTGTAATTACAAAAGAGGTGTAGGTGAGAGTCGACCAGTCTCCAGTGTGACACGGATTTACAAATGAATGAAGTGACACCTCAGTCTCTTAAACAAAGACAGGCACACGCGCAGCCACAAATCACCCATTCCAATTGGCACAACATTTTACGCTAAGATCTTTTCTGACTTTTTTATACAGACAAGCTGAGGATGTTGACTTCACATACGTAGATGTACTTCACTACACTCCCCCACGTACTTATTTGGACAGTGAAGCTACAACTTTTTTGGCGGCTCTATACTCCAGCATTTTGTATTTTACGTCAAATGTTTAATATGAGGCGACAGTAGAGACTACAGAATGGTACCTTTTATTTGAGGGTATTTTCATACATATCTGTTTAACCGTTTAGAAATGAAAGCACTTTATACATTCTCTTATAGTGTATTACATTTCATCGAAAGTTTAGTATTTGGTCCCATATTTTATAGCACACAATGACTACATCAAGCTTGTGACCCTACAAACTTGTTGCATGCATTTGCTTTTTTTTGGGTTGTGTTTCAGATTATGTTGTGCCCAATGAATGGTAAATAATGTATTGTGTCATTTTGGAGTCACTTTTATTTTAAATAAGAATATAATATGTTTCTTAACACTTCTACATGAATGGATGCTACCGTGACTACGGATAATCATGAATGAATCATGAATAATGATGAGTGAGAAAGTTACAGAGGCATGAATATCACCCCCCCCCCAAAAAAAAAAAAATATATATATATATATATATATAAACTCCCTTTTAATTGATAATGGTGAGCAGTGACGTTTCCAGGAGGGGTCACATGGTGGTCACGCCCCACTGATATCTGATTGGCCACCCCAAGGACCCCCCCAGAAATTCTGAGATCTGATAGGTCGTCTGAACATAGCCTACAGATAATTTTGACCAAGACACTCACCGACAGCATCAATCATGTCATACCATCATGTTTTTGGGGGCCAGACAGCATCAAATACATGGGCTACAGATATTAAGACAGAGGGATGTTTGCTTTGGTCGGATGCTTTCTCTGGTGAAATAGATTCAGCCTCTTGCGAATTGAAGGACAATTATGAAACACTGATAGACATTAACGATAAATAATTGTATAAGTTTGTTTATTTTTTATATGTTTTTTGGGGAAGCCTGGTTTCCCTTGGCAGCCATGAATACAAGCCACTTTGTAGGCTGAATGTCATTACACTTACCGTGTTTATAATAGATGTCCTTTTCCATTCAAATGGATGCTGGACTTATTTTGCAAGTCATTTATTTGACAATCAGATGAAAACATCATGACTGGTTGTGTTCACGACACATTAGAAGGTAATACATTTTTACAGTTAAATGACATGCCTTTACTATAAAGCCCATATAAAGCGACAGTAGAGCGAGCGCATGCATACATAAATAGAGAACCCCCGAATGTCACAGTATAATTCGCACTCTGGATGGCACTTTTAAGTGAATTTACTGCTTTATGCTAATACACTTATATAAAATCCTGACCTTAAAAGCAAACACTGTAACAAACACTGTAACAATTGATTTATGATTTATTTGAACAGGGAAATGTACCATATCTAAACTGAAGCATTTGATGAGTTGAACCATCATAATTATATTGAAAAAATCCACCTTGCATCGATTCAGTTTGAAAAGGTTATGGCCCCCCTAAACGGGGTCTAGGCCCCACCTTGGCAACCCCTTTAAAAATGTTCTGTACAAGCCACTGATGGTGAAAGGTTAGCATGTCTTGGGGGTATGATGTTTGTGCCTCTGTAACTTTCTCACTCATCATTATTAACAATTATTATTCACGATTATTAACGATTAATTATTATCCATAATCATGGTAGAATCAACATTAATGTAGAAGTGTTCAGAAACATATTCTATTCTTATTTATTGGGCACAACATAATTTGAAACAACCAAACAAACTGCAAATACACCCATCAAGTTTGTAGAGTCACAAGCTTCGTAGTCTGTCACGACTTCCGCCGAAGCTGCCTCCCCTCCTTGTTCGGGCAGGCTTCGGCGTTCGTCGTCACCGGTTTACTAGCCACTGCCGCTCCATATATCATCATTCCATTTGTCTTGTCTTGTCAATTACACACACCTGGTTCATATCCCCTCATTAGTCCATGTATAAGTGTTCCCTCTGCCCCCTTGTCCTTGTGGGTGATTGTTTTATGTGAGTTGAGTGGAGCGCGGTGGACCTACTCATACCTTGTATTGCCGGGGTAGATTATTCCCCTGTGCCTGTATTTTGTTGGAGCTACCCGTACCTTGTATTGCCGGGGTAGATTGTTCCCCGTGTGCCTGTATTTTGTTGCAACTGTGTACGACGGAATAAACTCTGTATTCGGTGATTTACCCTCCTGCGCCTGACTCCTTCTAATCACACTCATCACATAGTCATTGCGTGCTAGGAATATGGACCAAATACTAAACTTTTGACTACTTTAATACACATAGCCTATATTAATAAACATAAATGAATTTGTCAAAATATTTATGACACCTTCAAATGGAGGGATGAGTTGATTTAATTTCTAAATGGTAAGACAGGTATGAAAATGACATTCTGTAATGTTATCTCATGAAATATTTGATCTAAAATCCCAAATCTGGAGTATAGAGCCAAATTAAAAGTTTTAGCTTCACTGTCCAAATAAATACGTAGTGGAGTGAATGTGGTAAATAATTGTATTCAGATGTAATTATATTTCACCTTCATTTACATTTAAAGGGTAGCGTGTGCTGTGGGAACCATCGCACTTCCAGTGGCGACACGTCATCGCTAAATGATGTACAAATTCTAACAGGTAATAAACAATACATGCATGTGTCAATCCTAAAACTTTCCCAAGGGAAAGGGTTAAGTTACATTTTCCCAGACTGTCACATCTGCGAACGGCAATGTGAATTTGGTCAATGTTCTAAAGTACAGGCCTAACATAGCAATTGAAAGCATTGAACCACCACAGGAAGTGTTGTTGGAATTCCATGGTGACCAATCACTTAAATGCGCAAAACATGCAGTGAACGCGTGTGACATGCTTGACAATCTGGAACTAAAAACCAAACAAATATTCATTCATCCAATTTCAAGAGTTTACCTATTATATTGGGAAAAACGAGTATTGCAATTGTTCACATAAATCTATTTTTGTGCTATAAGATCTTGTTGAGGGATCGCGATTGGTATCTCAAGTGTTCGCACTGCGCTCTTGCGCTGTAGCTAATAACTTCAGGATCAAAGCTACCGCATGGAGCTGAGGCACGCGCTGTCATAAACACACCAACCCTGGCACGTGTGTGTGAAAGACAAATGGCATGCGTACCGGAGAGGTGTTGGTGACAGTTGAGAAGTGAGATGTTTGGCGAGAGTCGACCATCAGTCTCCACGGCACACGCAGCACAGCCCCAAATGGTATTACGCATTCCAAATACGCTCATATTCAATAGCTTACGCTTTTCGATTTTGACCAATTCAGACAGGATGAATATTGACTTAATATGTAACTTTGTGATAGGCTACATTTTGTATGTAATAATATTCTAACGTTATGTTTAGCCTACATTTAAGAGGACAGTGTGTGCTGTGGGGACCATCGCACCTCAAGTCAGTGGCGACACCATTCTAACATTTACATTTTAGTCATTTAGCAGACGCTCTTATCCAGAGCGACTTACATGAGCAATTAGGGTTAAGTGCCTTGCTCAAGGGCACATCGACAGATTTTTCATCTAGTCGGCTCGGGGATTAGAACCAGCGACCTTTCGGTTACTGGCACAACGCTCTTAAACACTAAGCTACCTTCCGATTTACAAATGTGTAAATCCTATCGTTTTTCCCAAGGGAAAGGGCTGAGGGTCATTTTCCCAGTCTGTCACTTTAGAACAGCAAAATGTATTTGGTCAACTCACCTTAGAATGTATCTCATTGAACATTGAACCACATGTTGTATTTTTTTTTAGGCCTGAAGGAGTCACTTGTGTTTATAGCATTCTCCCAGGGTATGCCCGTGTCAAATTTGCACCTCTGTCCAGACTTCCCACTTGTGCATTTGTCCATTCACTGCTGTTACGCGCGGTCATTCACTCTCTCTCTCTCTCTCTCTCTCTCTCTCTCTCTCTCTCTCTCTCTCTCTCTCTCTCTCTCTCTCTCTCTCTCTCTCTCTCTCTCTCTCTCTCTGTCTCTCTCTCTCTCTCTCTCTCTCCCCATGCATGTGTAGGTTAAAAGCTGCAAGGGCCTATTTTTACGCAGGACCGTAACCATAGATGGAAGTGCTATTCTCAATTCGCGTGCATGTCAAATTTCCCACAGCTCATTTGTGTATTTGATGTTGATTAATAGCGCAACCTCGCCTGCAGCAGATGGTTAGTATGGCATGCTCACACAAGGTGCAACTGTTGTCATGCTTAAATTGGCACTTACATGGAATGTATACATCATAAAGGCGAGTGTGTTCGAGTTGGTGTGATTGTGTTCATTCTGACACTTTTTCAGCGACAGTATTTCTCTGTTCCCATGAGAAAACCAACGTTCCCAGGGCACACTTGTCTAAAAGGACAATTTGGCACATACATATGAAGTTATGCTATACTGCTATGGATAGTCAAAATACCCTCTATGATGCATTGAGTGTGAAGACACTCCCACCAACTCAATATAGTATTCCAGCTATAGACACAGTTTGTACCAAATTGGCCCTATATTTACATAAAACGATCACTGCTTTACTAGTCAATTGCGCCAATAATGGCATAAACGCATTATTGTCAATGCCAAATTAAGGTAAAAGAAGTGTAATCCTGGCATTTACAAGTCATAACATAATACTGTATAGCATATGGTTGCGTCTTATAGGGGGGTCACCTTATATACATTTTTGTAAATAAAATAAAATAACAAATAACCATAAATAATAAAAATAATAATATGCCATTTAGCAGACGCTTTTATCCAAAGCGACTTACAGTCGTGCGTGCATACATTTTTGTGTATGGGTGGTCCCGGGGATCGAACCCGGCGTTACAAGCGCCGTGCTCTACCAGCTGAGCTACAGAGGACCACCAATAATAATGCACCGAATCACACAGCCTACTCTAGCTACAAGTTAGGATGAAGATATGGGCTATATGGACTCCCATTCTAAATGTTTATGCTGTATTGTAAATATATATATATATATATATATATATATATATATATATATATATATATATGGAGAAAATAAATCTATTAGCCATATAATTAATACATTAGCTGTTTTCTTTTCTGCTGCTGCAATCTAGCTTCATTTCAGTAAATAAATGTGCGTCCTTGGAATGGTCTATGGTCTAATATATATATATATATATATATATATATATTTATTTATTTATTTATTTATTTACTGAAATTAAGCTAGATTGCAGCAGCAGAAAAGAGCTAATGTATTAATTATATGTCTAATAGATTTATTTTCTCCATATCTTTCAACATATAATCAATTTTGTGAGTATCAAGAAGGCATAAGTACAGTTAACATACGGTCGTGAACGTCATTGTCACCTTTCAACCAATGACAATCGGTCTGCTTGACCTTATAAATAGCCTGCGGGTTCACCTGATAATGAACCAGTCCCGAGCGAGTGTGGAGACTTTATTTTCAGCTGACTTGACCGGATTAGATGCATTTATCGTTTAATTTTTTTGAAAAATCGTCTTTATTCATATAGGCCTACTTTTCTTCATCGAGTAAAGTTGGAAGGATCAAACATGGATAATCGTAAAGCCTTAAAGAGGGTACGTTCAGATCCTGCGTAAAATGTATCTTTCAAATAGTTCATCTATATATTTAGGTGACCGTGAATTGGTTTTGGATTTGTTTTGGTTAAATTACTGATCATTATTATTATTTTCTAGGTTCTAAAACCGGTGATTGAAAAGAAGAGGCGAGATAGGATAAATCAACGCTTGGATGAGATAAGGACTATTCTGCTAAGCAACACTTCTGACATGGTGAGTTGAGTTGGCCACAGCTTTTCTAGTTGCGTCTGAAATCAGCTCCTTGTGTGTCCCTCTTGTATGAATGAGCCCACTGGGCACAGACGTCAATTCAACATCTATTCCACGTTGGTTCAACGTAATTTGATTGAAATTACGTGGAAACAACGTTGATTCAACCAGTGTGTGCCCAGTGGGAGAGGGATATAATAAACCGCAGGGCACCGATAATAATAACTTATTAATGACGTTTCAAACAGCCCATAAAACAACACGCACATATTGTGCGCAATGGCTGTGCATAATGCCTTGTTCAGTAGGATTATTCTTTCTCTCTCACAGCGGCTGAAAAATCCAAAGTTAGAAAAAGCTGAAATTTTAGAGTTGACCGTCGATTACATACGAAGAAAAACAAATGGGAACGACAGCAAAGGTATCTATCAATCCAAAATGTTTTATTGTTTTCCAGTGTGGGTTTGTCATTTAATTTATTTCAGAAATGGGAAGTGAAATCTGCCCCCAAACTGCTGATATAGATAGAACATGGTTAATGTGAGTGCTAATAATTGTTTTATCTTGCCCCAAAACCTCCCTATATCTCACCTACACACACACACACCATTGGCTTTTGCAAATTGTTTTGACTATTCTCCCACTGATTCCCATCCTGCTTCTCCATACTGTCCTCTTGCTGTCCACTTTTGAATTCTCTCCATATTCATCATCCTATCATGATCTTTTATCACACGCTCATCTTCATCTCTGGATTCTTCTCTTTCTGTCCTCTCTTTTCTTTCTAATTTACTCCCTATATTGTCTGGCTCACACTATTGACCAACACTAGCCTTCTCAGAAAATTCCATGAAAGAGTCCTCTGCTCCAGTGACTAGTGCTGTGAGTTCCCAAAGGACAGGCCCCATACACAAGCAAACACAGCCCCCACCCAACCCTGTCTACAGTGCAGGTTTCACAGAGTGCATATCCCGCCTGGGCAACTACATCGACAGCGTGGACCCCTCCCAGAGAGAGAGCTTTGTCCAGGGACTAAGGGATCACCTGGATACCCACAGCGCCTGCCCTCTGGGGAGGGTGCAGAGCCAGACCTTCCCCCTGGACCTCCAGCCCTGGGGCCCTGCAGCAGAAGGATCATGCTTCCTGGGCAGAGTGCAAAACAGGAAGGACAGCACAGTGATGGGGCATCAACGAGCCAGCAGGGAAGCCACTTTTCCATATATCAACACCTCTCTTCCCATCTATCCCAACACCTTTGTGCTCCACCACCCCCACCCTACCCAACACCTCTCACACCCATACCCATCTCCCCCTTACTCCCTCTCACCCCCACCCTCCCCCTGTTACTCAAACTCCTCGCCACCTTTCACCACTACCCCTCCATACCTCTCCATGCCCTGCCACTTCCCCTTCCCTCCTTCTCCCTCTCAACGTCCATCAGATTCCTTGTCATCCTTCTCTCAAACTACATCTCCGCCCGTGGTGCCTCTGGTACCAGCCCATCCTTCCCTGGTGTCCAGTCCCCCCACCCCTCTACATCTCTCTGGCCCTGTGCCCGTCGGCCCAACAAGGACTCTGAGGCGGTCACTATTTCAGATCCAGCCCCAGGTAGTATGGAGGCCCTGGTCCTGATATGCGGAGGAGAAGGGTGATTGAAATCCACACAGGACACATACAGGTGTCCACAATATGTGTTCTGAGAGCATCTTTACGGAAACCTAGCCACCCAGATCATCATGGCACACATTCAGGACAACATTCATCTTTCCTATCAAGAAGTGTGTGTTGAGGGCCAGCTAAGAGAGAAAGATGTGGAGGTCAAGGACAATCATACGTTTTCTGAAAACCTGTCACTGTCACTTTAAAAGGCCTGTTTAACAGACTGAAGAATTCTCTGTTATATAACATTTTCTTCAGAGCTTACTTTGTAGAATGCCTGGAGTTTCTCTTTGTTTTCTTGTCTTGGACAATGGATTTCTTCTTTTACATTCCTATACATTTATTCCCTGTCTCCGGTTCTTTCCTAAATTATAAATCATGTAAAGCATTGTAGATTTATTTATATTTTATCATGTACAAAGTCTTGTAAATAAACTCATTCTTATTTTGTTAACTCGCTTCATTTCCAACTTGTCTCACTGCCTGTCAGTGCTAATGTAACCTACTCAGTATAACATTTAAACTGATAGAATAAAACAGATTTAAAAAAAAAAGCGAAATGTATAGAATTAATGCATTATAAATGTAATCACTGTATTGCCCTATTTATCAAAATCATGACGATAACACTATTATGGTTTAAGTGCCAGTTATAACTGCTAGTTAGGCTATAAGTATGATTGAGATATTTGTCATGGTTTAAGATTATTGTAGTTGGCATCCAAAGCCCATAATGTATTGTTTATGTCTCCAATGAACATGAATAACCCTGGATAGTATATGCCTATTGATTTTGGATGTCAGTCCAGCTAAAAACAAACTTTTTAAAATAAATCCCAAACCAGCGGGCATGGAGCCAATATTATGAATCAACACTTAAAAACATTAACATGTAGTGTGTGTGCATCTATCAGTCACACATACATGTCAGTACATACACACAACAAGTAGGTCACATGGGGGAGAGGCGTTGTGCCGTGAGGACTTGCTTTATTTGTTTTTTGAAACCAGGTTTGCTGTTCACTTGCACTATATAAGATGGAAGGGAGTTCCATGCACTCATGGCTCTGTATAATACTGTACGTTTACTTGAATTTGTTCTGGACCTGGGGATTGTGAAAAAAACCCTGGTGGCATGTCTGGTGGGGTAAGTGTGTGTGTCAGTGCTGTGTTTAAGTTGACTATGCAAACAATTTGGAATTTCCAACACAATGTTCAATATAAAAACAAGAAGTGACGCAGTCAGTCTCTCCTCAACTCTTAGCCAAGAGAGACTGGCATGCATAGTATTAATATTAGCCCTCTGATTACAATGAAGAGCAAGACGTGCCATTCTGTTCTGGACCAGCTGCAGCTTAACTAAGTATTTCCTTGCAGCACTTGACCATATGACTGGAAGTTTAATCAAGATAAGATAAAACTAGAGCCTGCAGGACTTCCTTTGTGGAGTGTTGCGTCAAAAAAGCAGAGCATCTCTTTATTACGGACAGACCACTCCCCATCTTTACAACCACTGAATCTACAGATGAAGTCGGAAGTTTACATACAGTGAGGGAAAAAGGTATTTGATCCCCTGCTGATTTTGTACGTTTGCCCACTGACAAAGAAATGATCAGTCTATATTTTTAATGGTAGGTTTATTTGAACAGTGAGAGACAGAATAACAACAACAAAAATCCAGAACGCATGTCAAAAATGTTATAAATTGATTTGCATTTTAACGAGGGAAATAAGTATTTGACCCCCCTCTCAATCAGAAAGATTTCTGACTCCCAGGTGTCTTTTATACAGGTAACGAGCTGAGATTAGGAGCACACTCTTAAAGGGAGTGCTCCTAATCTCAGCTTGTTACCTGTATAAAAGACACCTGTCCACAGAAGCAATCAATCAATCAGAGTCCAAAATCTCCACCATGGCCAAAACCAAAGAGCTCTCCAAGGATGTCAGGGACAAGATTGTAGACCTACACAAGGCTGGAATAGGCTACAAGACCATCGCCAAGCAGCTTGGTGAGAAGGTGACAACAGTTGGTGCGATTATTCGCAAATGGAAGAAACACAAAATAACTGTCAATCTCCCTCGGCCTGGGGCTCCATGCAAGATCACACCTTGTGGAGTTGCAATGATCATGAGAACGGTGAGGAATCAGCCCAGAACTACACGGGAGGATCTTGTCAATGTTCTCAAGGCAGCTGGGACCATAGTCACCAAGAAAACAGTCGGTAACACACTACGCCGTGAAGGACTGAAATCCTGCAGCGCCCACAAGGTCCCCCCTGCTCAATAAAGCACATATACAGGTCTGTCTGAAGTTTGCCAATGAACATCTGAATGATTCAGAGGAGAACTGGGTGAAAGTGTTGTGGTCAGATGAGACCAAAATCGAGCTCTTTGGCATCAACTCAACTCGCCTTGTTTGGAGGAGGAGGAATGCTGCCTATGACCCCAAGAGCACATCCCAACCGTCAAACATGGAGGTGGAAACATTATGCTTTAGGGGTGTTTTTCTGCTAAGGGGACAGGACAACTTCACCGCATCAAAGGGACGATAGACGGGGCCATGTACTGTCAAATCTTGGGTGAGAACGTCCTTTCCTCAGCCAGGGCATTGAAAATGGGTCGTGGATGGGTATTCCAGCATGACAATGACCCAAAACACATGGCCAAGGCAACAAAGGAGTGGCTCAAGAAGAAGCACATTAAGGTCCTGGAGTGGCCTAGCCAGTCTCCAGACCTTAATCCCATAGAAAATCTGTGGAGGGAGCTGAAGGTTCGAGTTGCCAAACATCAGCCTCAAAACCTTAATGACTTGGAGATCTGCAAAGAGGAGTGGAACAAATCCCTTCTGAGATGTGTGCAAACCTGGTGGCCAACTACAAGAAACGTCTGACCTCTGTGATTGCCAACAAGGGTTTTGCCACCAAGTAATAAATCATGTTTTGCAGAGGGGTCAAATACTTATTTCCCTCATCAAAATGCAAATCAATTTATAACATTTTTGACATGTGTTTTTCTGGATTTTGTTGTTGTTATTCTGCCTCTCACTGTTCAAATAAACCTACCATTAAAATTATAGACTGATAATGTCTTTGTCAGTGGACAAACGTACAAAATCAGCAGGGGATCAAATACTTTTTTCCCTCACTGTACACTTAGGTTGGAGTCATTAAAACTCGTTTTTCAACCACTCCACAAATTTCTTGTTAACAAACTATAGTTTTGGCAAGTCGGTTAGGACATGTACTTTGTGCATGATACAAGTAATTTTTCCAACAATTGTTTACAGACAGATTATTTCACTTATAATTCACTATATCACAATTCCAGTGGGTCAGACGTTTACATAAACTAAGTTGACTGTGCCTTTAAACAGCTTGGAAAATTCCAGAAAACAATGTCATGGCTTTAGAAGCTTCTGATAGGCTAATTGACATCATTTGAGTCAATTGGAGGTGTACCTGTTGATGTATTTCAAGGCCTACCTTCAAACTCAATGCATCTTTGCTTGACATCATGGGAAAATCAAAAGAAATCAGCCAAGACCTCAGAAAAAAAAATTGTAGACCTCCACAATTTCCAAACGCCTGAAGGTACCACGTTAATCTGTACAAACAATAGTACACAAGTATAAACACCATGGGACCACGCAGCCGTCATACCGCTCAGGAAGGAGACGCGTTCTGTCTCCTAGAGATGAACGTACTTTGGTGCGAAAAGTGCAAATCAATGCCAGAACAACAGCAAAGGACCTTGTGAAGATGCTGGAGGAAACAGGTACAAATGTATCTATATCCACAGTAAAACGAGTCCTTTATCGACATAACCTGAAAGGCCGCTCAGCAAGGAAGAAGCCACTGCTCCAAAACTGCCATAAAAAGCCAGACTACGGTTTGCAACTGCACATGGGGACAAAGATCGTACTTTTTTGGAGAAATGTCCTCTGGTCTGATGAAACAAAACTAGAACTGTTTGGCCATAATGACCATTGTTATGTTTGGAGGAAAAAGGGGGGACTTGCAAGCCAAAGAACACCATCCCAACCGTGAAGCACGGGGGTGGCAGCGTCATGCTGTGGGGGTGCGTTGCTGCAGGAGGGACTGGTGCACTTCACAAAATAGATGGTGTCATGAGGAAGGACAATTATGTGGATATATTGAAGCAACATCTCAAGACATCAGTCAGGAAGTTAAAGCTTGGTCACAAATGGGTCTTCCAAATGGACAATGACCCCAAGCATACTTCCAAAGTTGTGGCAAAATGGCTTAAGGACAACAAAGGCAAGGTATTGGAGTGGCCATCCTAAAGCCCTGACCTCAATCCTATAGGAAATGTGTGGGCAGAACTGAAAAAGCGTGTGCGAGCAAGGAGGCCTACAAAACTGACTCAGTTACACCAGCAATGCAACCAAATACTAATTGAGTGTATGTAAACTTCTGACCCACTGGGAATGTGATGAAAGAAATAAAAGCTTAATTAAATTATTCTCTCTACTATTATTCTGACATTTCACATTCTTAAAATAAAGTGGTGATCCTAACTAACCTAATTTTTACTAGGATTAAATGTCAGGAATTGTGAAAAACTGAGTTTAAATGTATTTGGCTAAGGTGTATGTAAACTTCCGACTTCAACTGTATATGTTTTGACCTTGACAGTTTACAATCTAAGGAAACACCAAGTAATTTAGTCTCCTCAACTTGTTCAACAGCCACACCATTCATTACCAGATTCAGCTGAGGTCTAGAATTTAGGGAATGATTTGTACCAAATACAATGCCCTTAGTTTTAGAGATGTTCAGGACCAGTTCATTACTGGCCACCCATTCCAAAACAGACTGCAACTCTTTGTTAAGGGTTTCAGTGACTTCATTAGCTGTGGTTGCTGATGTGTATATGGTTGAATCATCAGCATACATAGACACACATGCTTTGTTTTAATGCCAGTGGCAGGTCATTGGTAAAAATAGAAAAGTGTAGAGGGCCTAGAGAGCTGCCCTGCGGTACACCACACTTTACATGTTTGACATTAGAGAAGCTTCCATTAAAGAAAACCCTTTGAGTTATATTAGATAGATAGCTCTGAATCCACCATATGGCAGAGGTTGAAAAGCCATAACACATACGTTTTCTCAACAACAGGTTATGGTCAATAATATCAAAGGCTGCACTGAAATCTAACAGTACAGCTCCCATAATCTTATTTTGATCAATTTCTTTCAAGCAATCATCAGTCATTTATGTCAGTGCTGTACATGTTGAGTGCCCTTCTCTATAAACATGCTGACAGTCTGTTGTTAATTTGTTTACAGAGAAGTAGCATTGCATGAATGCCACCCCCCATCCCATTGGTTCTTACCCTCACCATCATTAACAGAACTACGGGAAAACAGTGCCCGACAGGTGGGGGGAAGGACACCGTCTACCGGTCGCCCCCGCCTCCCGCTAGCACATCAGGCGGGAGGCTGGGGCGACACTGTGTGCTAGCTAACTAGCTATCTTGCTAGTTAGTGTAGTGTCTGAGACAACGATGCCGATCATGCTGTGATGATAAGAATTCCGCTGACGCTGTACTTTGATTATAAAGGTTTATTGTATCAAAGATCACCGTATCAATTTACAGACATCTGCAGATATCTGGAGAATAACCGGACCCAATATCTGATATGTTATTTCTCCCCGTCCTTTGTTCAAAACATGGTATTTATATCCTATGTAAGATAAGATGGGTGGTTTTTGACAGACCAATCCCTGGCCTCCACATATCTCCAAATGTCCTCTATTCCAAGAAGCCTATGTAGTAATGCTTTCCAGATGTTTCAGCAAAGCAGAGTAAAGTTAATCTATTACACCATTTGCAAATGTCAGCAAAATCATAGACCTTCAGACACTACATTAGCAACACCATGTGCTAGCTTGCTAGTCAGCTATCTAGCACACGGTGTCGCCCCCGCCTCCCACCTGCTGTGTACCCGAGAAAACCGTGCCCGACAGGCGGGGGTGAAGGACACTGTCTACTGGTCGTCCTCACCTCCCGCTAGCACAGCAGACGGGAGGCTAGGGAGACACTGTGTGCTAGTTTTCTAGTTAGTCTGCTGTGCTAGAGGGAGGGAGGGAGGGACGGACGACCGGTAGACAGTGTCCTTCGCCCCAAATGTCAGGCATGGTTTTCTCCAGTACACAGCAGGCAGCAGACGGAGTACTAGTTAGCTAGCTAGCACACAGTGTCGCCCTAGCCTCCCGTCTGCTGTGCTAGCAGGAGGCAGGGGTCAACCGGTAGACAGTGTCCTGTCGGGCATGGTTTTCTCCGGAACACAGCAGTCCTGAGCAGGACTCTGGTACACAGCTTGCTAGTTAGTTAGCTAGCTCACGGTGTCGCCCTCGCATCCCGCCTGCTGTGTACCAGAGTACTCCTTCATCGCCATCGTTAACAGAACTGCGGGAAAACAGTGCCCGACAGGCGGGGGCAAAGGACACTGTCTACCGGTGTATGGCTAGCTAGCTACCGTTGTCGCCCCTTTTTCTGTGGGGTTTATCGGTGGCTGGCGTCTAACATTATTGTGCATTGACACTATCTATGGTACTGGAGTGCCCCTGCCTCCTGCCTGTCCTAATTGAAAAATGGACCAATATAAGTATAAAAAGGGCTTCCTGCCTATGCAGGAATGCCCACATGCAGGAAGCCCCGAATTACGTGCCGCAATTGCACTCTTCTCGAAGATCCTGGACGTTGTTGGATAAAAACTACAAATCCTAATGACAATTCTCAATTGCCCCGCCCCACCACATGTCAGCGAATGAGAGGGTGGTGGGAGCGTTGTAATCTATGTTGTTTTGTTTTGCCTCTACAACCTTACCTTGATGTAAAATGTGTGAACAAAATGATGCGTATAGACCGTATACAGATTTACAATACATTTTTAAATAGATAATTTCGCCAAATGGCGGGGGAATAACATATACAAATTCAGAAAGGCAAATGATGGGATACCTATTTGTGTGCAAAACTAGGTCGACGTGAATTGCCCAACCCATAGACGTCTGTAATTGGTCGATTTCATAAAGACTGCCTAAAAGTCGTCACCTTATTGGTTCCGAGGCCTGTCTGTCTCAGTGTGTAGTCTCTTGCAAAGGATAAAGCAAACAACCCTTGAAATCTTCCAATCTGCGTGAGGTTGAGCTGGTGAGCTAGAAGTTAGCGATCAGAGTTTGGAGTGCACAGCGAGCTCACAATTACCACCACACTGATTGTGTTATTATTTTTAGAGAGGCTTGTCTTCCAAACATTATTGATTTATTTCACCAGTGAAAACAATATTATCGAACAATCAAGCTATCAACGAAGCTGATGCTGCAGGAACGTCAGTAACTCGGGAGGGAGTGTGCCAGTGACAGTTCAGCTTCACGAGAAGGCGGGGAGAACGGTGAGCTGAGCTGAGACAGTTGTGTTGTTGTTGATGAACATACAGTTACCTCATACTATAGCTAGATGGCTAGTTTACGTATTTTTGCATCTTACTTAGTCGCATTTATTAATGAACGCAAAGTGGTGGATTCTTGGAAAATATCGGCATTTATAGTGAGCTAGCTAGCATAACAGTATTGAGGAACCATTGGTTCACGCGCAGCAGCTGGCATTGAGGATGGGTTCAATGTCTTCATTGTAGACGTTCACTCAACGTTTGCTCCAATAACTTGGATGTATACTATCCAGTGGCATGCATGCACCTTGGGGTCTTATTGTAGAATGACATGCAGGCACAAATAATCAAAAGCTATTTCCAGGTGTGAACAAATAAGTGCGTTACTAAATAGCCGGGAAAGCAGCAACTGGGGACTGGGCACTATTGTAATTTTGTCCAGTTTTAGCTGGGGTAAAAAAATAATATATATATGGCCTAAATTCAAAGTCTTTACATTTAAGGATATAAATAATACATATTATGATTTCTAGGGTTCAGTGATCATTATTATAATCTATTTTGATGTGTTTTCAGATCAGTGGTCCCATGTCAGCACCTAAACAATTGAGTGGAAGATGATAGAGATGTCTGTTGATAAAGAGACTGTTCCAACCAGAAGTACGAAAGTGGATCCAGCGCCACCTCTGCCACCCCAGAAACTCTCAGAATGCACTGGAAGCTGCAACAATGCCCCCAAAGTGCCAAAGGTCACCCTGGCCAACCCAGACAGCACTGATGGTGCTGCTACCTGCCCCATGCCAGACAGTGGGGCCCAAACCAAGCACAGCCGCACAGCTGACCCCCACGATCAGCCAAAGCGTGTTGGGCAGGAGGCCATGGTGTCTGAGCAGCACGTTAACCCTAAAAATGGGTTTCAACAACAACAGCAGCAGAAACTCTCAAAGCGTCGCAGCACAATGAATGCAGGGTTCAAGCATCCAGCAGGTAAGAGACGACGACGGGTCAACTCAGAGAGCGACTCTGTTCTGCCCACCAACTTCCTGCTGGGAGGAAACATATTTGACCCGCTGAACCTCAACAGCCTGCAGGACGAGGATGTGAACAGGGCCCTGAACGCTGAGACGCCCAGGTCCTCCCCCCTGCCTGCCAAGAACCGCGACCCTGTGGAGATCCTCATTCCCAGGGACATCACTGACCCACTCAACCTCAACAGCGGGATGGGAGGTAGGAGCCTCCTGGTGTCGCCCTTCAAGAGTGGCGGCAGGAGGAGACACCGCAACAGACACCATGGAGGAGGAGGAGGAGTTGGGGGTTCCACAGTCTCCATGTTGGACCTGTCATATTCAGAGAGAAGTGGTGAAGTGACCAACACCACTGCTTCTGCTCTGTCTAACTTGGCATCTGCTAGTGCTGCGTCTGCCTCCGTTCTAGAAGCACCCAGTGTGCCAGCCGTCCTGGACCCCCAGGGTGCTAATGGTAACGAGATCAACCCCTCCAACTGGAGAGATGAGGCTATGATCACTGTATCAGCCCCCCAGGCCCAGCCTCGAGCCCAGGAAGACTCCTCAGCAGCCACGGTCGGAGGCCCAAACCATCTCTCTAGCCGGCAACGCAGACGCAGACGCAACTCTGGTAAAACAGAGCCTCCTATGGCCCAATCTACTCTTATGGCCAGGTTGGGGACGGAGGAGAGGGGCCGTGGAGCTGGGCCCGGGAGAAACGCGCAGTCCTCCTTCCACACCCCAGTGGTAGGTCCCAGGGGGTCCTCCCAGGTACCAGGGGGTCGGCAACCGCAGCCCCACAACCAGCACAAGCAACAGCACCAAGGCAACAAGAAGTTCCAGTATGGAAACTACAACAAGTACTACGGCTACCGCAACCCAGGCTGTGCCGAGGACCCACGGTTCCGTTGTCTACGTCCGGAGTGGTTCCACGGTAAAGTAGTACTGGACCTGGGCTGCAACACGGGCCACCTGACTCTGTTTATTGCTAAGAAGTTGCGGCCCGCCCGCATATTGGGGCTGGACATTGACGGGGGTCTGGTGCACGCGGCCCGCCAGAACATCAGACACTACCTGTCAGAGCTGCAGGCCCAGGAGGCCCGGCGAGCCGCAGGGAATGAGGAGAAGACCAATGGACCGGAAGAGGAGATGAAGGAGAAGGCCAACAGACAGGAAGAGGAGAGGAAGGAGAAGGCCAACAGACAGGGAGCGCAGAAGGATGACGAGTCACACTCAGGAGGACTAACGCACAAACAGAATGAAAGGGAGCACAGCAGGGATGAAAATGGAAATGCTGAAAAGCAGGTGAGAAGAGACAGTATCCCTGCAGAGGCAGCGGGGGGCGTGGTGTTGTCACGTCATGCAGAGAGAAGAGCTCAGGAGAGAGGGGCTGAGGAGGACTCTGGAGCACCTGCTGTTGAACTGGGGACCAGCTCCTTCCCTGTCTCCTTACGGATCTCCAGGGGGCCCATAGCAGCACCCCCACTCCCTGACACACCCACCATGCCTCCTGGTAACTTCCCCTCAAATGTCTCCTTTGTCAAGGTAGGTGTGTGTGCTCTGCAGCCTTTTAATGTGTTTCCATTTTAATAATCATTATTCATAATATTAAGGAGGAAATTAATAATATTATGATGAATAATTTGTTGCTTCTCTTTCACAGAGAAACATCCCACATTGTTCAGAACTCATCTCCTCTCATCTCCTCTCTCCTTAGGGAAATTATGTCCTAGAGAGTGATGCTCTGCTGCTGACCCAGCGGCCAGAGTATGATGTCATCCTGTGCTTCAGCGTTACCAAGTGGGTCCACCTGAACTGGGGAGACGGTGGCCTGAAGCGCCTCTTTCACAGAGTGTTCAGACACCTGCGTCCTGGAGGTCTGTTCGTCCTGGAGCCACAGCCCTGGATCACCTACGGCAAGAGGAAGAAACTCACGGTGAGATAGGGAGAGAGCTTAGTGTTGTAAGGACAAATGGTGTGATCTGCTACTGTAGATGTGCATAAATGCAGTATATAGCCAAAACAATAACTAAAACATTTTACAAGTGGCCTGTTTCTTTATTACAGACATTTAAAGTATGTGCTGCTTTGCTCAGCACCGAGGCTTAGACTGAATCATGTCTGACATTCCTCTCTCACTGTTGCAGGATAGCATCTTTAAGAATTACCACAGCATCCGCCTCAAACCAGAACAGTTCTCCACATACCTGACATCTGAAGTGGGATTCTCCAGCTACGAGTTGATTGGGACGCCTAACAGTTCATCAAGAGGTATGTCGCTGGTTCGTTAGATACTGATGTCATCTCTGATTCTTTCACGTGTCCTTTTCCAGTCTAGTCTATTCTGTTTCTCAAACTAATGGATTTGTACGTCTTCCACAGGTTTTCAGAGGCCAATCTACTTGTTTCATAAAGGAACATAATCTGCCTGGAAGTGGGTTGGAGTAGGAGAAACCCAAACCACCATGAGACACAAAACAAGCCACCATTTCAAAGATCTGCCTTCATTTCTAGTCTGTAAGCATATCGGTCAACCCCAATCAGAGCTTTCTACATGTCTGTGACACTGTGTTGTTCAGAAGGTAGCTAAGGAGACCAAAACATGAGACTTGATTCTATAGAACGAGTATCTGATGGCTTCTCTACCCACCAAACTCCAGTCCAGATGATAAGAAAGCGTTGGGACAGGGTGAACTCAATCATGACTCTTTGGGCTTTTTGCTCCCCATGCACAGGCATTGTGTTCCATATCATTTTACTACTGTTCGTACTCTTGTTCAGTTTAAGGATTGTATTTTTTTCACTTTCATTTTAATATCGACGTTCATCAATAGATCAACTTTTGAAGCAGAATGGACAACCGAAACTCATTTCGAAGCCTTTACATAAAATGTATTCTCATATAATGTCCAAATAGAACTCATCTAGGGACATTTCTCACACTTTTTATAGGATTAGAGCATCTTCAATTTAAGACTGTTCTGCTTAAAAACATGTCCTCACTGAGTTCCTGTGGCCTAACTGACTGACCAGGAAAAGCAGTTTGACTCTGGATAAGTGTGGCCTGTCTTCAGCCTGCTCCTGCTCCTGGCCCGGAGTGCATTCTCTCTAGATATCCTACTGCCTGTCCAGGGACTGTTCCTGTCTATTTCTATTGGTAGCTGATTCAAAAACAACTGTCAGTCAGGTGGAGTTGGCTATGGTGAGATGTGAGAGGATGATCAGTGTTTTTACTTTGGCTATAATAAGAATTATTGATTGTTCTTTTATTTAATTAGACTCATGTTCCTATTTTTTTTAAATAATTAAAAATAAAAAAAACGTTTCTTTCAATGGATTCGTCTTGTTATGTGTACAAACAAAGGTTTGCTGCCAATTTATCATATGTAGCCTACACAGGGCTTCCATGGTTTGGACTCAGATCGGACTTGTATTGTTAATCCAGCTCACTTTAATCCAAATCAGTTCATCATAATGTAATGTTGTTTACGCTTTACTCGATTCTTACGCTTAATATTTTGTTTACTCGCACCTGGTGCTGGTTTAGTTCTGATTTTCTTTAAATGTTTTTGTTTTTAATAAACAAATCAATGGAAATGCAGTCAGTGCTCATTAGTCATTCCACAGAGGACTCCAATCTACAGGCCCTAAAACCTCCACTGGCACTAAACAAAACAATCTGATTCACAGGCTCAAATCAAAACCAACCTATTAATCTCAGCCTTTTCCACAAGATCCTAGACCTAGGGAGATGTTATAGAGGGGAAATAGCTTGATGAAAAGAGAATCGTGTGACTTCTGTTCATTATTTTTTCTGTCTATGTTGTGCAGATTTGTAACCACCCATTTTATATAAAGGTTGACTCAGTTATACATTTTTACAAATATTTGACTACCCTTGGAATACCAGCCCTGATATGTGTGTAATTGGGTTCTCACTAGTCATGTGGATGCTTGGTCAAAGGACTCTGCACGAGAGATTTGCTACAAATACATTGAGACAACTCACTTCTCAATCTGTTGAATTTACACTGATGATGGATTTGTCAATTATACAAAGTCCATGATAATGTCATATCTGTATTGTGGAGGTTTGGGCTAATAACTGACGGGGGGGGGGGGGGGGGGGGGGGGGTGTCATTTCAATAAGGTTGTCTGTATCGTACAAGAACATTGTTTTGAGAGCTCTCTGTACATGTTTAAAGAAGCAATCTGCAGTTCAAACAATAAAGTGGCCACTGGTTTGGTAAAAAACAGAGGAATGAGGCTGGAGAAATGTAACAATTCCTAGACCGAGCTGTGGATGCAAGGACTGACCATCCATTATATAAACATGATAGTTTTAACCATGTTTTGAGGTTATACAGTGTTTTGTTTACAATTAAATTGTTTCCAAAGGGTTAAAACAAACTTATATTTGTGTTTTGATGGGGTGCGGCAGTTGAACTAAGCTCATGAGGCTGTGCACATCAGACATCCAGGACAGATAACAATTCGTAGCCAGCCCTAGCCTACCATACTATACTGTTTTTATATGGATAACAAGGGTTCATGATAGGCCTATGTCAAAAACATGAGCAAGTACCATGATCCCCCAGGAAATATGAGTTTTATAAATGCTCCAGGGTTGAGAATATTAGCGGCATATCCAGAAACTGACAAGCTAAATAGATTATCATGTTTTATTTGCAGGAGTAGGGGAAGAATCAAATTATTCATTTTAAATTATCTACTGCCAAAAAGGGCTGGTTGATGCTAGTAGACTAATAAAAGTGTCCTGCCCCCCCAAGGTTGGAACCACTGCTACAAAGATGTTTTGGCACAAGGTGTTTGGGCTGTTGAGTCCTCATAGCAAAATGGTCTTCAGAAATAAAACATTGGGAAATTATAAAAAATTGCTAGTGTTCTTCTTCATCTGTGTTATTTCAGTCACTTTGTTGTAGTCCATTATAGTACCACTGGGTGGCAGAACACTCCATGAAATGTCTGAAATGTTCTGTCATTTTCTTCTCAGGCTCAAACCGAAACCAGAAGCCCAGAAACTGGGGTAAACAGTCAGATCATCAAAACCAAAAAACCCTAATTTAGTACTGTAATTACATAATACCTTATTTAGAATTCAGCTGTTTGAATTTGAGTTTTTGCACTTTTGCTTAGTTTTACTTATACTAAGTGTCGTATGTGAACAAGAAAAGTCCCGACATCCCTGGTTGTGGTGTCATTTTGTGACCTAGTTCAAATCACAGCTGTAAGATTGGCCAAATATTTCAAATAAATGTGATCCTCGGGCAGCTTCCTCATGGTCCACATGTTCCTCCTGGGTCCCATTTAGCTGACTAGAGCCTGCCCTTGACCTACTTCCAGTCAAACTGAGCTGAGGCAGCTTCAGGACCAGCAGAACAGTCTTGCCTTGAGGAAAGCGGGACTGGAGGATGGAGGATGGAGACTAGATACTTCTCAGTGAGTTTTTCTCCATTCCCAGATACTATCGAGAGCATCGTTAAGTGTTTTTTTGTACTGTAATAGATGTCTGTCAATGTGCCTCCTTTGTTTTGTGTTGTTTCTGTCTGTTATTCTATGAAGATGAATTCCTCGGTTGTTTGTGTGTATCAAACCTCCGGCTGCATGCTGTTAAAAAGAGCAGGAGATGAGTAGTTAGAGAATAGTCATTGGTTAGTTGGACAACCTACATAGATATGTCCACGTGTGTTTGTGAGTGTGTGCACGTCTGTGCGTTTGTGTGTGCGTGTTAGAGAGAGAGAGAGGGTGAGAGAGAGAGGGTGCGAGAAATGGCATGCAAGCTTGCTTTTCATGTGTTGGTATCTGTTTGTGTGTGAGGAGGATACATGTATATCTGTCAATATTCACACACACTACTTTCTCTCTGTCACTCTTTATGCAATCTTGTAACAATTAATATTTTACATGTGGTTTAGAACATGAATGTTCAGGACATTTAGTTAAATCAGTAGTGTGTGTGTGTGTGTGTGTGTGTGTAACCCCTCAGTGTCTGACTCTCCATCACCACAGTAGGGTGGGTTATGAAATGTGGTAAACAGGTCAGCCATAGTCAGGTCAGCTCAGCTCCTGGCTGAATACTGTCGTTTACCACAGGCTGGGTTCCATATTGTCTTTTCAATCATACCTTTCAAACTATTTCTACTGTATTTAATGGAATTTAGGTGAATGGTACAGTGTGTGATGTTCTCAAGACAATGTTCTCTAGAGGCCAATATGGGTCAGGTCAGTTGTGGCCCATGCTGTTCTACTGAGTCGCCTCTGTGGGCTCTGGAACCCTCTGGAACTCGCTGGAACCCTCTGGAACTAATTCCCGACCAGTCCAGGTAGCTTGGTTCAGGTTATGCTGTGTGACTAGGTGGATGGGTGCCCAGATGGGGTATTTGAGCATTCCTATACAAACTGTTCCAGTACTGTGCTTGGTGTTTTTTTATGTATTCATGAGTGTGTGTGGTTAAATACGTGTATGCCAGTGGCGGTCGGTGACGTTTAAAATGAGCATGGCCTTATTTGAGCATGGCCTTATTTCTATTACAGCATATTGGATTCAATGTAACATCGATAGGTTTAGGCTACTGCATGATACTCAAAATTTCCCTATACCCATCATGAGGTTGCTACAACCTAGCCAATGAATGAAAGTTTACAACGTACGTGCGCAGGTCAAGAGAAAAATTGGAGTAATCAAGGTGACAGACAGTGACACATGCAATACTGCCTTGCACACTCTGGCCTGCATCTAGCTGATCTAAGGTGTAATCATTAGTCCAACAGTTGCAAATGAGAGTTTCTATTGTTTCATTACGTTTGCTTCCGTTTAAGAAACATTTTCCAACAGAATCGGCGGAATGAATACACCCCTGATCACACGCAGTTCACTTTCATAGCAGCCACATACAAACAGCATGATAATTTTGCTCGTTGTAGAATTCCTTCTCACATCTACAAGTTCTCCTCCTCTCACCTTTTCCCTTCGCTTGTGGACAACACATCAGCTGTCTGTGACCTGGCGAAAAAACCTTTCCAAACCTTCATATCATAACCGATAACTGCTACACACAGCCTACCTACATCGTCATAGCTACTAGAACCAATGTGTTAGTAAACCTGCTACAATCATGCAGTACAGTGTAAAGTCAGCAAGCAGTTTTGCAGTTACAGGCGGGCCCCGGTGGCAATAAATTAAATACAACCAAAACCTTACCTTGACTTGGAAGAGTTCCAGTGTTGGATAGCTATAGCCAGCCAGCTAACATAGCATCCCTCTCTCATCCCCCAGCCCGGTGCGCCCCGTGCCTGCTCCTCGCACTAAACCAGTGGTGCGTGTCGCCAGCCCGGTGCGCCCCGTACCTGCTCCTCACACCAAACCAGTGGTGCATGTCTCCAGTCCTGTACGGCCCGTACT